TCTCCATTTAACTATCATAAAAAGTTGTTATTCTCAACTCACTTGCCCACCGGCCCTGCCGTTGCATGATGACACTAGGTACTGAAAAATGTTAACTACTGAAAAATGTTAACTTTGACACCCCTGCTCCGTAAAGACAAGCAATCCCTTCAATATGTTGTGTATCTCTAAAGTTGCAATGCATATGCTAGATTTCTGCATATCCCAAGTACTCTGGACTCCAGAATACCGCTCTGAAAACTTTCGGTATGTACAACCTTTGGTTCCTTTGTCAGAATTACATCAACAAAGAGAGTGCAATTTTGAATATCATTGTGACATACATGGTAAATTCATCCGTGCTATTGGAGGAAATATGGTCTCTGCAAATTATAGAAGTTGTTTAGAAATATAATAATGCTCTAATTTAAAAAAAAAAACTTAAACTTATTTAAATACAATATTTTTTTGCATGTGGAAAACTTGGGCTGTGTTTGGTAACAAAAATCTATTTTCTTTTTCCAATATTTCTTTTCCATTAAAAAAATTGAAAAACTTGTTCATTTATTGAAAATGAAGACAAATTTTTCATAAACAAATACATCAAGATTACAAATATTTTTCATAAAAATCAAAGTTATAATTTATAATAGTAATGTTAATATTTTGTATTCATGATATTCTAATTATAGAATATTAATTTTATTTAATTCAAACTAAAAAATTTCTTGATAATATTAAAAAAATAATTTTAATCTTTTACTTTGCTAAAAAAAAAACATGTATATAAAAGAAAATAATTGTATTATTCACATCTTCTTCTTTTTTTTCATTTAAAAAATAGTGAAAACTTGTAAAAGAAAAATATTGAGAACCTTTAAAATGTGTTTTCGAAATTCAGTATGAATTTGAAAAACTGAAAAAATAGTTTTCTATTTTTCTGGATGGATAAATGTTGTATTTGAATGGAGAGTTCCAGTTTTTCAGAAAATTAGAATGGACTTTGTTTCTGAATAGGTCATAATTTTTTAATTTTTTAATTTTGTACAGAGTAGAAGTTATTCATTGCTTTTCACTATTTTCAATAAAGAAAAGACATGAGCAATACAATTTTTTCTTTTGTATACAAGCACTTTTTAGCAAAGTAAAAGAATTTTTTTTTTAATATTTTCATGTTGAGTTAATGTCATAAATTTAATTTCTCTTATAAATAAAATAAAGATGTTTTTTAGTTAACAATACAATTTTTTATGATAATTTTTTTTAAAATAAAACTTCTATAATTAGATTATCATGAATACAAAATATTAAAAATTAGATTATCATGAATTTAAAATATTAAGATAGCTTTAACAAATTATGATTTTGAGTTTTATGAAAAACAGTCGTAATCGTGATGTATTTCTTATTTTTTTGGTGAAAAAACTTGTTTTCTTTCTTAAAAAAATGAGCACTTTCTCCAAATTTTCTTTGAAAAAAGAAAAATAGAAAACTGAAATAAAGGAAAATAGTTTTTTATTGGTGAAGTTCATATTACATGACTTGCTCGTTGAAACAATGTCACCATCAGATGCATATATCTGGTTTGGATTGTTTACATGGCAGATGTTTGCATTGAAAAGATACACATATAGTTTACGATGCAGTGTCTCAATTTTGAAAGAGCCCCCTCATCGAACTCTGATGCTATATGAAAGCTTCCAAAAGCCATGTTTTTAGTGGGATATCGTTGTATGAAGCCTTTGGTCTAACATCCTCTGTTTTTTTTTTTTTTAAATAATAAATTTGCAGCTGCATGTAATGGAGGATGCACTGGTAAACTTCAAAAGTGAACTTGCTGTGATGGAACTCGAAATTCAGGTTAACAGTGGACTATTTGAACAATTGTCTCGTTTTCTGAATCTCCCATTTTTCATATGAGAAATATCTCCTTTTCCTTCACCTGAAGCTATTGAAGAACTGCTGATGTTCTATTACCATGTATAGCATGAGTCATTGTCCCCAGCAATAAAAAAAGTGTCCCACTCCTCGAACTGTGGATGCGTGACATACCTGTCCCTCAAACCACTCTTGTATGGATGGCTCTGATCCAGGCAATTCACAATCAGTGGTTAGGGATATGGCCCAGTCTTGGGTTAGCATTATGTTTTGTGTCTGAGTAGTCTAAGCCACTATGGGCATTATTGCTCGAAAGCTCTATTATGCATGTATTTTGTTAGTAATTCAAGCAGAAGTTCTTTAGGATCTTCTTTTACTTTGGAACGAGCAAAGAGCTTATTTTAGTAGTTTGGTTATTTATATTTGCAGAACCATAATTGTTTGCATTTTGCTGAATACAGATCAAAGCGTCTAATTGGTTGATCTAAAAGCTTAGGCTACATGTACCTTTTCCATATCTTGGTGATGTCAACCAAATATAGAAGTACTCTAATTTTTTCTTTTGATGGGCAGGCTTTGGTCACGCTGTCAGAAGAAATAGCTCAATATGAAATTCCAGAAGGGTCAAGAAAGATACATGGGAAATACGTACAATCTCACCTGCTTTCACGCTTAAGAGGTACATAGCTTTTTGCATGCACGTTTTATGATTGTAATTTTGGTCCTTTGGAACAAGTAAATTTTGTGGCTTCTCCGAATGCATGGCAAGTGCAATGCGGCAGTCTTGCAAGCAAGGTCATCTTGCAAATCTTAAGAATTTAAGGTTTTCCTTCTATAATTTCCTCAGTTTCTTGTGGCTTGAGCACATGGTGCTAGGTGCATCATGCATGTTTTAAGGTCAACTTTGTTGTGTTGCTTAGCATTACTCTCAAGACAACCATCTTAGTTTTTTTTTTTTTAACACAATGAATGTAGCTCTACTATTTCTTTTGATGCTTTTGCTTTACTGAGGCTTTTCCATCATTTTCCTCACAAAAGTTCAATTGGCGTTTGTGTTGCTGTAAAGTTCTCCAAGAAAAATTCAAGGAGCAAATAAAGGATGTGGATGCTGCACAATCCAAGGAGGTATCCTTGTTCTGGTGTGGCATGGCAGAGGTGAGAATGCAAGAAACCACCTTCATATTCCTAAGAAATCGTACCGACAAATTTGGATTTCAAAATATTTTGAGTAATGTAAAGGAGTTTGGTGGAGGGATAACCTCCTCTCATAAAGATTCATCTATTTTCAGAGTGTACAAGTAATGGGCTCCTTTGATGGCTGGAGTCAAGGGGAGCACTTATCACCAGAGTATGATGGTTCTTTTACCAAGTTCTCGGCAACATTAATGCTCAGACCTGGAAGGTGCGATTCTATTGAGCAAGCCGAATTCTATTTTGTTATGAAGTCGTCTTCTGTTTTCTTCGTGTGTCCTGACCCCCATTGTTTTTCAATGTTGAAGGTATGAAATCAAGTTCTTGGTCGATGGAGATTGGCAGCTGTCTCCTGAATATCCCACCGTTGGCGAGGGACTAACAGAAAACAACTTGCTAATTGTTGAGTAGTCTGAGGTACACTGTTCAGTTCGGTTTTCTGAAAATCCTAGTATGAGCTTCTTTAACTCGAGCTAGTAGCTCAAATGGAAAGGTATCTGAAAAAGGATATCTGGAAAAAGTAGTTGAAGTATATAAGAATAAACGTGAAGGAATGCTTGAACCAGTCTCTGCTTTATTATTTCAATTTATGGATGCTTAGCTATAAGTTTGGACATCATTCACCAATGGAATATGATACCATTATTACAAATATACAGGATATAAACTTTCAGAATTTACTTGCTGAAAACTTTCCCCGCAATTTTTACTTAAAATCCTCCAACGACGATGCTATACTCAAATCTTCGGATGTTTGATTTTCTTTCGGTATATTAAAAAAAAAATAGACAATAAAGATAGACATAGTACATTTTCATGTATTTTTTATGTTGAAAGTACACAAATTTATTCTATAAATTTATTTGAAAATTATTTAGTAAGTATATTTATTTTTATATCTTTTTATATCTTTTTAAGTATATTTATTTTTATAAGAACATGACAGGTTACTAATTCTCCAACATCCATTAGGCCACACAAATTAAATAAATTTGTGTTTGGTACCGGGGTGTTGTGGTTTTTAAAAATATTTTTTTAGATTTTTTTTATTTTAAATAATAACATATTAAAATTATAAAAATAAATATTAAAAAATATTAATATAATATGTTTTTAAGCTAAATAAAATTTTAAAATTTTATCTAAACTCAGTTCCAAACCGTATTGGATTCAAAACACACACGTATATTAAGTTTATATACAAGTATATGTATATATTGTTGTTCTTTAACTTATTTATTGGTGTTAATGATATGGTTCTATGTTAATAATATTTTTATTTATATATGGTTAATCAGATTTATTAAACTATTGATTTAAAAAAACTAAAAACTAGTTGAGTAAGTTTTTTCCTTAAAAAACTTGTGGATGGGTAACGGTTATCCAAATGAGTTGGTTGAATTATGATAATAAAACATTCAAATATAATAAATAATGGATAATAGCAATGAAAAGTTAAAAAAAAAAATTATATATCAACTCCTATTTATTTTTCAAACTAGTAACTAAAATCATGAAATCAAAAGCAATATACATAAAAAAGTTCTCAGTTCAATCTTTAAAAAATGAAACATTAAAGGATTAAATTGAAAACAATTACATAAAAAATTAAAAATTAAAATAATAGAGATTAAAATAAAAATAAAAAATAAATTAAAGGATAATAACAAATTTTTAATTTAAGAGTTAAATTAAAAAGAACAAAAACATTACAAAAAAAAAAACCAAAAGAATAAAAACAAAAACAACACACTATAAACTTGAATTAAATATGAAATTAAAAATAAAAAAATTTTATAAAAAAATTAAAAAAATCTTAAATCTAAAATATAAAAATTAAGTTGAAAATACCAATACATTATCACAAAAAATTAAAATTAAACGTCTTAATTATCCTTCTCGTTCCCTTTTGCATATTCTTTCCCTTTTATTTTTCAGTCCTTATTCTTTTAGTTTCTAATTCTCGCTTTCATCTTATTTCACTCCTTAAACTCTTTATCTTTCTCTTATAATTTATATTATCATCATAAAAATTAAATTAAATACGTAAAAATGGGGCATGGAAAACACAATTGAAGGAAAACAACTAGAAATAAACTCAATGTGTTAGTAGGAAAATTCCATGTGTCTCTTATTAATTGAAAGTAAGAACAACATTATCAAAAACAAGAAGAATCAACTACATTTAAAAAAAAAAAAAAAAAAAAAAACAAAAGAACCAAAGCACTGATACAGTGTACTAAACAAGAGTACTCATCGTGTAACTTCGTTGTTGATTTCTTTCATAGGAAAGCGAGGAAAATGCAACCCTAACAGCCTGCAAAAGGCCACAAAAACAGATTCACGTAAAGCAGCAATCATAGCGAAGCACGCTACCGCTGCTTATAAAAAATTTGACAAAAAACAATGAAAACTCTCCTGTCTTTCGAAGAATAAACCCTACTCCTTATTCCTCTGCTTATATTCTCTTCTAAAGGAAACCTCAATGTACTCCACTCTTGTCTTCTTCATCTTTTATCAATTCCTTCTTGAATGGTTGAAATAAAATCTATAACTATTTTGATGCTCTTTCTCTCTACTCTTTCTTCTCAAAGAGCTTTCGCATGCTCTTTTCACGCGCTTATTTGCCAGTTTGGCTCCAGCAAACTAGCCTGGTACACCATCATTGCCTTGGCCTTGGCCTCGATCTCCGAAGAAAACCACACAAGATTAAATTGCTTTATTTTTTTCTTTTAATTTAATACCCTTAGCTTCTTTTTTCCTAACCATCTTGTTTTTTTAAAAAAAACCTAAAGAAAGGCTGAAAAATGGAAAAATCGAAGAGAAATGTGAGCGAGAAAATGTTGTTACAAAAGCAGAACAAGAATAAGAAAGGTGATGATAAAAAGAACAGGTTCTTGATAAGTATCAGTTTTCTTGGTAGTGCAGGACCTATAAGGGTTGTGGTTAATGGCGATGATCTTGTTTCTGGGATCATTAGCACTGCTCTAAAGATTTATGCTCGTGAAGGCCGGCTACCAGTTCTTGGCTTTGATGTCAGTAACTTCCTTCTGTACTGTGTAAATGCAGCTTCAGATGGTATTTTCACTTACCCTTTCTTTAAAATCTTTTCACTCGAAAAAAAAATATATCATTTCACGTTCATTAGAAGTAGATAGTTTCATTTAGAGGAAGGGTGTTCTTTCATAAATTTGTTCTTTCTTTTTTCTGCCTTGAATCCAGTCTTATGATCTTTTTAATTATTATTTGATATTACTTGGATATCTTCTCATGCATAAGAAAGAGGAACTAATTAATTTGTATGAATTCGAATACTGGTTCGATCATCATGAGTGTTACCAAAATCAATAGTGTTACATTGTGTTCCTTTTTTGACAGTTTTGCTCTCTTTTTTCTACGGCAAAATCTACTCCAAAAATAATTATTAAACCCAACCAATTTGGAAACTTGTTGACTCGGAGCACGGGTTAATTTAAAAACTAACCGCATCATATCTAGCATAATATTCTCCAACAATACTTATTAAACCTAATTTTCTTGAAATTTCATTGACTTAGATCATGGATCAGGTTGAATTTCATTTTAAACTAATTTGAAGATTAACGAGTCAAATTAAGCAAAATCCTGGTTAATTTCTGTTGGGTCAACTCCAATGACTTTTTTTTTATTTGCAAAACAACTTTATTTTATTTTTAAAAATTAAAACAATGTTATTTTGTAATTCGAAACATTATCATAATCTGATATGCATGGCTTCAACCGTAAAATATATTCATCATCCTTATAATTTGGTGTTTCGTGAATTTAATTTCATTTATATGCCAGTTTTTTTTTTAATTTAATCAGGTTAACAAACTAATGGGTGGGATCTAATTATTTATATATATCATTATGATATATAATTCATTGGTGTTCGTTTCATTTAGCGTTGAATCCATGGGAACCAATAGGTTCTCACGAGGGAAGGAGTTTTGTGCTGTGCAAGAAACAGCTGCAGCAAGAAACAACAGAGGTGAGGGCCGGGATCACGGCCAAAAAACCATCTGGCTGGAAGGCATGGATGGCTCAACAAGTCCTTAAATTCTAAAATATTGTCTCCTAAACTAAATTAATTCATTTTCAATATTGCAATTAATAACAAGTACGAACCAAGCATCTTGTAAGTTTATAATAAATGCCTGTGCTCATTATGATTTGTGGCCAGGTGTGAGTTCTCCTGCCATACCCTAATTAATTTATACTTTGATGCTTCTCTAGGGCATATACTACAGACAATTCTGCCACAATATTGAAAGCTTTTGTCCTCTTTATTCAATTCAAATAATGTCTATCTTAATAGTTTACAACGAATGGCATCTTTGGCATATATTAGTTTTTATATTCTGTTCTTGATTCTTTAATTTTGTTTGCTGGTCTTAATCGGTCCTTTATCTGAAGGGACGGTTCTAGGAATATTAGTTGCCTTACTGATGCGGGCTGGATCAAGATTTTTTTTATATAAGAAAAAATACAACTGTTGTTAAAGCAGTTTCTTGCAACAAGAAAAATATTGATTTAAAATTAAACAAAGCATACATGTGCCAATAAATATCAACATTAGCATAATGCTATTTTTTTAATCAAATGCCAAGTCGAGACTCTAAGAAATAGATGAGACAAGACGTGATCATCTTCTGTATAAGGAGCTATTGAAGTTTTTTTGTTTATTTATATTGTAATATTTTTTATACATAAGAAAATTAATAATTTTAATTTTAATAAAACAAAATAATTTCTTAATATAATATATTTTACAAAAATAATTTCATAATATAATATATTAACACAACACTCTAGGTGGACGCAAGTCTTTAAGTGTGGCTTAGTTGACTTAGATAATCACATAAAAATCCTATTTACTTTAAACAAAAATAAAATAGAATCGAGATAATGTTTTTTTATTAAAAATACTAAAACAATGATATTCTAGATAAATCGAGGTCTAATTAGATTAACCTGTTCAACTCATGATCTAAATCAAACCCTTCATGACTTTAACAACCATGTCTTTTTACATTTATTTTTTTATTTAACTAAACAATTAACAATCTAAAAAATAGAAGGGGGTGTTAATCAAAATTTAAAAAATATAAATTAAAAAAAATACATAAAAAAGAAGGGTTTGAATTAATTTTTTAAAAAAAATCATAGAACTTACGGGCATTGCTTACTTTTAGGTTCCCACGCATAAGTTGATTGTTTTTTTTTCCCTACATCGAAGAGCATAACATACATGTCTTACTGTAACATATATTAATAAACATGAAAAAAATATATCTGATGGTGCAATTAACAGAAAGAAAAGGTGTTTTTTTCTTTCTTTCTTCTTCTTTTTTTCTCTTATCACTTTAATAATTTAGAGAAGTGATGGTTAGAAGTAAAAAGAGAGGATTTTGAGAGGAAAAAAAAACATCTTCACACTAGGAATTAAGAAAGATCAAAGTAAGGGTTTTGGAGAGACTAAAGGAGAAGAAGAAGGGTGAAGGGAGCTAGGGTTATTCTTGTATTTTACACTTGAATTATCATCTATCTAAGATAATAAATTTATCTCAAGTGATCAATTTGATCGATTTTGTGTTACGTGAAATATCATGTATGTATAATATGATATGAATCTTGAGCTTTGAACTTTGTCTTTTTAAATTGTTATTTTTATTATTAATTTATGTTTGTTAACATGAAAAATAGTTAATATTAATTAAATTGAAAAAATTAATGTTTAAATCATGAATTTTATATCAGGGTTTCAAATTTGAAATTCAGGAAAATACAAATGGAGAGTGAATTGAACCGATTTGATTAAATTAACTTATGGTGGGTGCTAAATTATAAAGAAAAAATTAAAGAAAATCATGGTGTCTCTGAAGGCACTAGGGTCAACCATGAGAGAACAAGTAAGCATGTATAAAATTTAGCTTGCTTAAGAAAATCATGAGAGAGAGAATGCATAATGTTGTGTGGGAAATGATTTTTGAATGAGTTTGGTCATGTTATGTTACCATGTAGGCTTTCTTCCTTATTCATGTCAACATATAATTTTATTTTTATTTGAAAAAAAATTGTTGAGGGGTTTGGGGAAAGAAGGCGTGATGTTATTTAGCTAAAATAAAAAAAAATGATAAAACCTAACAAGAAAACAATTGAGAAGCTCAAATGTATCTAACAAAAATAAACTCTAACCATATATTATATTTATGTTTTGAAGGAATTTAATAATATCAAAGAGGTTTATGATTATTAAACTGGAATAATGTTTTTGTAGTTATTGTATTAAAATCCACACCATATAGAAGATATAATTTTCTTTATTTATATGCAAAAAAATACCTTATTTTGGAAGATGAGTTTTAAATTACTTGGAAATAAGATTTAAAAATACTAACACCAAATCAGATTGGGCTAATAACATTTAAAACATCTACCCCGAAAGCCCATGAAGGCCCATTAAAAAGAATACTGACATCGAAAACACGTAGGCGGCGTTCAAATTCCGGGAGCCCGTTATCCACATATCCTTCCCTCCGTGCTTCAAATCCGATTTAGAGGATTCATCCTTGGTACAGGTAATTATGGCGTCAAATAAATAGATAATATCGAGAAAAAGAAAAGTGTCATATAGACACGATATTCTACCTATGAACCAAATAATAATGATAATATTCAGAGATGAAATCGAGAAATTATTATTACAGGGTATTTACAATGTAAGAGAAAGATGATGCATTAAAAAAAGATTGAAATCATGTCGGCACCAACTAGAAATCATAAGAATTTTCTAGAAAGCTATTTTTAAAGTTTTCTATCTCTATTTTCTTTCTCTTCGTATTTATCTTTAATATATTGTAAATATCTAGTTTTGAATTCCACAAAAAAAATTACATAACATGGAAAATTAAGATATTTTTTAATTCTCAAATTTTAATTGTTTTCTATCAATAAAATTTTATTTTATTTTTCAAAATCAAACATCAACAACATGTTGAAATTTCTCTGACATTACAGAATCCTCGTACCTAAAAAAACAAATTAAGTCAATTTAAAAAAAATTAATATAAAATAATCAAATTAAAAAAGAAAGTCAATCTTTTCTCAAATTAAAATAATTAAATTAAAAAAGAAAGTCAATCTTTTCTCTTTGCAAATCACTCTATGATGTTTGTAAGAAAATGAAGCTTAATATTATTTGCGGTTTAAATTTAATTCTATTAGCTTTAATTGTTTTAAATTAATAAAATTTTATTTAATCTATTTCAATTGAGTATCAATCTAGAATTGGATTTGTTTCTCAGAGTTAAATCTTAATTAAAAGCAACAAAATCATTCGGGAGTAGAATTAAGGAACTGGTGTTATTTAAACAACTGATGCCGGAAATAGTCACATTCCACACAATTATATCTTTTCATTGTTAACATAGAAGCTTGAAACTTTATTGATACCACTTCAGTAGTATTTGACTAGTAGCTGTTAATTGTCTAATCCAGGCTCTGGCGCAACCAAAGAGTTGCCGATAGTCGTAATCAACCACCATCACCATTCCCTTTTCTCTTAATTAATCATGGATTCCTACATGGCATGGCATGTTTTAGAGTCTCATGGCATAATAGTAATGATTACTAGCTTTCCAATAGTAGAGGAGGATGATTCGTATTTATATTAAAGCTAATCCCATCTTCTGATCAAGGTGGGCATTCCCTGCAAAGATTGGTGAAAAGTGTTCTAAACACTAAAGGAAGAAAGGGGAAGATTTTACATTTAAGTTGTTGAAAAGCCATGGCACTTGATGTGTGGAGGTGTAAAGGTGGTTTCATGCAGTGAGGGGGCCCTTATGCTGGCCTTAGGAGGTGGAGTAGTGCTCGTTGGTGGAGGTTGTCAAAATCACACATGGAACCTCCAGTCAACATCAAACGCCCAGCACCATAAATTTGTTTGCTGATCTTGCTAGAAAGAGATAGGGACCCCATGCCCGCTTAATTACGAGTTCTGTAGAATTAGATTCAGATAAAAGTTGAAAATGGCTAGTGCTGGTACGATTTCCCATTAACTAATCATGGTGTCAAAGGCTTCAATGCGAAAAGGTTATCAAAGCCACCATCTTATGTTGACTTGGCTTCGTCTTAATGGTGCAAGAAATCACCCATGATTGAAAGTTAGGCAACCGGTCTTTAGCCAATTGCTTTGCCCCGATGGGAATAGGGATTAGTAACTTTTATGTCAAACACATTTCATTGGCAAGTCAAATGGTTCGATCACTTCGTAGGTTTTTTCTCTTGTCTTAAAACTCGTTTTTTATATTGTTTAAAAACACCAGTAACGACATCGTTTCGGTTCTTTTAAAATATCAAAACAATGATCGATATTTTAGTTTTTTTTTTTTAATCCAATATCAACCTGGTAAGGCATGGTTTTTATTACTAAGTTTTTTCTAAGATGTTTTTGCTAATTAACCTCTCATCTAAGAGATCAAAGCTTTGATAAAGCTTACCTGGACTCGATCATTGAACTAGCTAAGCACCTTTAACGAGAGCAAAATTTAAAGACATATCATATGTATCATCTTGTCTGGACAACACATTGCCCTGAGTTAATGCCTGCCAGGTCAAGGTCCACGCTAACTTCGTTCTTTAGAAAAAGAAAATAAAAAAAGACACCAGGAATTCTTTTAACATTAATTAGCGTTACATAGTTATAAATACCAAATAAAAAATTAAGAAGAGAAATGTTGGTACGAAGTCAAATCATATAACATGCAGGTACAGTCTAGCAAGGGAATAAGTATTGGATTTTTGGTGCGTGATTGGCTATAGTAAAATCATACCTGCATCAACAACACAAAGAATCTCTGCGAACTGCCCTGCAGCTACCACGAAATAATGGTCTGCCATTTTTAAAGAATGTGGGTTCTTGTAATTAATTTTTTTATCAAATATTTGGTGTTCAATTCTTTTTCATGTGAGCAATTCTATTTGATCAAATCGTTATCTCAACTGATTATAATTATTCCAAGTTACAATGGCTGTATCATAGATTTTATCTATTCATTCTGTAGTTATTAGAACAGATTTGTCAACTATCATTCAATCATAAGGGTCAGCCATTTTTTAGTAAAATATTATTATTTTATTTTATATATACATAAAACTAGATGTTTATCTAATTAAGTTTAATTGGGTCAATTATATCGCTAAAAATTTATCTAATTTTTTATTATGTTTAATTTAAATTCAAGTCGGGATTTAAATCCTAAATTTTATGGGGTTGAGTTTAAGGAGCATATTGCCTACTTATACTTTAATTGCATTCT